AAAAAAAAAAAAAAAAAAAAATCATGAAAACACAAAAGACCTTCTTATCGCTTGGTATGTTAAATGCAATATGTCCATTTTTGTAAGTCATAATTTATTTTAATGTACCTGGAGAAGAACCTGATATACCTATTATGGTGTATGGTGGGCTATGGAACCCTGAAGAATGCACATTAATTGTTAACACGACCTTATGAACACAAAAGACAGTTTTAGAGCTTTACTTTTAAAAAATATTCTATGATATTCTGAAGACATATAGAAAAGGCTTTGCAGAATATTTTCAAAATGGCTTTTACTATAGATCTTTGAATCATTATCAATTCACAGAATTTTTTATATCTTATTTTCCTTACTTTCATCATGAAGTACGTTAGATTTTATATATTGGAGCACAGTACACAGATTTAGGAAAAATCTGTTTTTATCAGTTACTTCTGATAAAGCTGGTATTTCAGTCATCGTAAATGTATATCACATACTGACTGAAAGGTGACATCGTTAGATATTACAATTCAACAAAACCGAGTCTATCTTATTAGTATTTCAAGACAATATTTTATTTCTTCCCAACCCCCTCTTTATTTTCATAGAGTGCAGCTGAATTTGAAATCTATGGTTTCTGGCATATCTGGGGTAAGGTTATACTCAGAATTTACCAGATCTGTCAGTCTCTAACTTTCTTCCATAATTCATTATATCATTCCAGTTATAATTAGTTGTCTGGTAAAATTAAGAACAGTCTATTTCAGTGAATGCTCATGTGAACATTTAACAACTTTTTGTTAGAATGACAGCTTAATGGCAGAAAGAATAAACCAGAAAGGGAGAGTCACTAATGTAACCTTAGTTAACTCAATATTGCCAGCTCAATGGAAAATGCGAAGTCTTTGCATTTTTTTTGTTATTAATCATCATGCATATATTTCGTGTCAGGGGATGAGCAGCAGTTTGATGGCATTCCTGCCTCAACCAGCATGTTTTAAACTGACCTGTCTTCACCGCTGTGGCTCCCTAGAAACTTTGCTGCTGCTGAATGCTTTGACATTCATCTTGTCAGTGAAAGCTATTTTAACCTTTAAGATGCAGTTCCCTTCCAAGACTGCAAACTGTTGCTGCACATATACTACATTCTACCACTGCAAAGAAGAAAGGAAGCTGAACAGTTACTATTACTACAGATTATAGCTAGAATATATACATATCGTATGAACAGTTGTGTTTAGCAATGTACAGGAATTGTGTAGTCTGACTAGTGAGTGTGAATCAGTGCTCTTCAACTTACTACCTATACACCAGCCCTCTCTGACATGACTTTTCTGTGGAGAAACAGTCCCTACCTTACAGGGATATCGTGAGGACTAAATGAGATACTTCACGGATAGTCTTTAGAAGAGAAACTGCCACATAGTTCCACGTTAGTAATAATTTTTATTACTATTTTTTTAGATGGAGATACCCAATTCTTTCCCATGGACCTGCTCCCCATCCTTTCTATCTTTTAACTGTCTCTGCTGCCTAGACCCAAAAGTGGAGATAAGGGAGAATGCAAAAATTACTCCTTTCAGGATATTTCTCTATACATATTTGAACTCTAGTTTCACAGGATGGAGCACCACCATAGTTGTGGTGGGACAATACTTTCGTAGTATGAATCTCTTTCTTTTTCCCTGTCCTTTCTTCACCACTGCCTTTTCTCATTCATGCAGCTAGTCTATGGGCTGGGACTACATGTTGAATTGGAACAGAAGTGAAGCTTCACTTTGAGGCATTTTGGAATAGAGGGCTCATTTCTTTCAAGCTTTACTGAGAGACTTGATAGCAGAATCCTATAATTTTCTATGCTCAGGTTTGTATTAGACCAGAGGAAGTGCACGTCATGTATGTTTGCAGACAAGTGTGGGTGGCCTCACAGTGTTTTTTGTGTCATGTCCTAGAGCAGTGACGGTGAACCTTTTTGAGCTTTCAGTGATACAAATAGCCCACTGCGGCATGTGTGTCATAGGTTCGCCACCACTGTTCTAGAGGGGCAGCTAAAGGAGCCCATGTTCCTCACAGAGCATGGAGGCAGAGCTTCCCACAGTTGAGAGCATATTCAGGATGTTTCCTGTTGTGGCAGATACTACGCTGCACAATTGCCAGAACTTCTCCCTTTTCTTCCTGGCCATTAAGCTATCGAACATTTCTTGGCCACCTTTGAGTTAAAAGCTATATGAAACTCTGTGTACTCCCTTCTCTTATCCCCTACTGAATGTATATGCAGCAGGAGACATGATTCTAGCAAACAGCAGTCACTAAATTAGGAACTTAAATTCAATAATTCTTTTGATTATAAATGTACGCATTAATGAACAGTATTGTAACAATAGCTGTGACTTTGTTACCAAGGGGGGAGGGAATCACAAAGGTTAGATGGGGGGCACTGAAAATGTCTCATGAGATTATGGACTTAAGAAGGTGAAATAAGCAAATGTCTCCTTTAACTTAGAAATACAGGTCAAGTACAGTAATTATAATGAAACAAATTCTTTTTAAATTTTGAATTTCTACACACTTATAACTGTCTGCCACAGTAATTTATCTCATTTATTATTTCTCTCCTACTAGAATGGCAGTAGCTGGGGATTTAGCTCAGTGGCACCACACCTGCCTGACAAGCCCAAGGTCCTGAGTTTGATCCCTGGTACCAAAAAATAAATGTCTATGCACATACTAGAATGGCAGTTACTTTTGTTTTACATAGCAAATGCTAAGTATTTTGAATTTATCAAATTTTATATACATATACATAGCTTTATGTATTCTCTTATGAATTCTGTACTTGGCTAGAGTTTAACACTGAAGATAAATAACCTCAAAGATGAGACCAATATTATACATATTGTGTAAGTTCTTCTACATTGGAGTTGGAAAGTAGGTGATTTTTTTCAGTGATCTGTTGATTTAAATGAAGTACTATTAAAAGAGCCCTCCAGGGTTTTAAAAGCAAGTATAAATTTGTCATGCACGGCAGTACACGTTTGTAGTTCCAGCTGCTTGGGAGGCTGAGGCAGGAGGATCACAAGTTCAAATCTACAGCACTTGCCCTAGTAAGCATGAGGCCCTGTGTTCAATCCCTGGTAGTACAACAACACGAAACAAAAATAAAATAGGAATCAATTTAATAATGCCTTTCTCAAGGTATTAAGTTCTGTTTAATTTTATCTTCTTGTGTAGGCAATTTTGTTGCCCTTACTCTGCCCCGGCCAGCAGGGTTTGTAATCGGCAGAGCTCGAGAAGGGGAAATACCTGGAAATGGGACAAGAGGGGCGCAGAGAGGAGACCAAGCAGAGGCTTGTCAAGGTCTCGTTTATTTGCAGGCACAAGCAGTATATAAAGGCAAAAACCACAAAATTGTAAGAGGAAGTGGCTAATGATAAAATGATAAAGGAGAAATATATTGTACAGTAACAGTCATGATGAGATACAGTTGTTATGTAACAGATTAGGTCATTAAATGAGCAAGGCCGTTAGTACAGTCATCGTCACGTCTGTGCCAGTGAGGTGACTCAGATGTAAACATGGAGGTGGTTATGTTAGGCTCAAAAACAACTCTGAGAGTATAAATATTTGGTCTCCTACATTACTCTAAAATTAAATCAGACTAGTCATTGTGAAATTTTCAGCTTAAAATTCAGAGGCAAAGATTCATTTGACGACAGACAACAGAGTTTTTGTTTTTAACCCCAAGGATTTAGTGTATCCAACTTTTATTAACCTATGGAAATATAAATGAGTGAAAATCGAATGAGATTAATGTGCTCTGTAGGTTGGGACTCAACATTAAAATGCAAAAAAATATACTTATATTCTGTATGATATAAATAATTTATCTTGATCACTGCTGTATACTGAGCTGTAAAACTAATGGCTGACTAAATAAGAATTTTTATGAATGAGTAAATTGATCAAGTTTCATTCAATTTTAATTATATGTAGTGTACATTACTCACTTTTGTATATGGAGGGCAAGGTGTTTATAATAAGAAGTTAAAGATTCTAAATTACTTTTTCCCCTTGTTGAGAATCAAGATCTGTCACGTAAAGTTACAAGATCCCAATAATGAATGTAATTATGCTGTATACCTAAAATGTACCAATAAACTCAATGAGGAAAGAAAAAGATTCTAAATTACTGACAGCTCAATGACCCTTGAAATTCTTAAGATGATATAAAGTTCTCTGATGGAAAAATGTTGGTATTATATTATTGTAGTTGAGTTAGTTTTTTAAAAGTACTTTTCAGGGGCTGGGGATTTTAGCTCAGTGGCATTGACCTGCCTCACAATGGCAAGGTCCTGAGTTCGATTCCAGGTACTGCAAAAAATAAAATTAAAATAAAACTACTTTTCAGTGGCTTCTTAGTATTAATGTGTTTAGGAAGAACAATAATTATTTTTCACTTTAACTGTCACACATTCAAGATAGAAAAGACTAGTGTAAGAAACCCTTTAAGTACCTATTTCTCACTTTCAACAATTATTTGTTACTATTCTTATTTTATTTGTCCACATCCAACTTTTTTCTCTTTTTTGCTATTTAACAAATTTTAGGTATCTATTATTTTAACTATAATTATTTTAGAATGTATCTCTAAAGGATAAAGATGTTTTTATAACATTATACAAATATCATTTAGCACATCTAACAAATTATTAGTAATTCCTTAATAGAATACAGTCCATGTTCAACTTTGGCTTGATTTTTCAAAACTGTCTTATACTTTTTAAAAAATTAAACCCAAACAATGTTCTTAACAATTAAACTTGGTTACTATGCTTAAAGTTTGTTTTCATAGAAAATTGTTTCGCCTTTTTTTAGTGCTTATTTGTTGAGGAAACTAGGTCATTCATTCGTTAGAAATTCCCTCATTCTGAATTTGGTTCATTGCATCATGGTACAGGTCAACATGTTTTTGTTTTCTATAAAAACAGCAGGTAGATCTCACACATGCGTAATTTTCTTTTAGTAAGAATACTTCATAGGTAATACTATATACTTCCTATTGCATTAAGAGGCCCATAATATTTGACTCTGCTTTTAATGATCTTAATACTGACAACTGACCTCAAGTATAGCAGGTCTCATCCATCATTGTGAAATGCTACAACTTTCACCAAATAGTATTAGTTACTAATGACCACTGGCCAGATCCATTATTTCATCAAGAATTGCAAAATAGTGATTTTATAACTTTCTATCTTTTCTTATTTCTCATTAGAAGAAATTTCTTATGGTTACTCTGAAATATAATTCATAGCAAAGTATCCCGATAACACTTTCAGCATGAGTCAGTGTTCTAGGGATTTGCAGGAGGGAGCAATGAATCTCCTCACCCAACCTATTCTACACTCTCCCTCAGTCTCACCAGGCGGTTTCACTGTGAAACCTTGTAGGTCTCAAATGGGCTAGGATAAAAGGTGACTGTACTCCAAGGTGGGTGCAAGGATTTAGGATAGGGAAGGCCTCTGCCCAGGAAAGAGACAATACCTCAAGCAGACTCTAGGAGATGGAATCCAAGTCTTCTGAGCTATCCTGGACGTCGGTGCTCTCTGTGGATTCACTGGGTTCCTTGGTATCACTGCCACTATCTGTGGCAGCTGGGCTATCCTGCTGGCAGGACTTCTCGGAATGAGGAAATGTGCCGTCATGGGTCTCCTGGTTCTCCCTGGAGCCCAGTAGCAAATGGCCGCCCTTCTTCAGCTCCAGCTGCCGTCTCAGCTCACATGCCATCTGCGAGAGATCCCGCCTCATCACATAAGCATCCTCCCCGTCTGCGTAGTATCTGGGCTCCACCACATTGACTTGGAAATTGAGGCTGTGAGAGTAGAGGTGCAAGGCCGCCCGATTACTCTTCCGGACGTGCAGGGACACGTACCTGGCACCGAAGTTCTCCACCATGGCCCGTGAGGCCTGCTCCATCAGGTTCTTCGCCAGGCCGAGGCGCCGGTGTGAGCGCTTCACGGCCAGCGAGGTGACGTGTCCTTGGGTGACGTCGTCAGGGTCCTCCTCCATTTTGGCCAGAACGTAGCCTACGACCTTGCCATCCTCATCCTCGGCGATGTAGGAGAGTTGTGGCCAGGAGAGGATGTGGTACAAATAGTACTTCATCTGGTAGTTCTCGGGCAAGCACAGGAGGTTGCAGTGCTGCATGTTCATCAGGTCGTCTGGCCGGGCATTGCGGATGTTCATGATGGCGGAGAGCGCGGAGCTGCCCTGCAGGCTGCGAGCCACAGAGACACCGTCTCCGAGTGCAGGGAGCACCGTCTGTGTCAGGGAATGGAGTCCGGGTGGCCAAAATCACTAGCTCGCTCGCAGCTGCCGGATAGCGGGAAGGGAGGCTAAACACGGAAGGGGTGGGGCTAAACCCGGCTTCCGGAAGTGTGCTGCTCCCAGCCAATGAGGTCTCCACTTCCTTGTGCTAGTGCCTGTGTTCACCCCCGCTTAGGCGGGGTGTGGAGAAAGGACTTCCTTCTCGTTTTCTAGGTTGAGGTGAAGGGTTCCGTTCACGTCTGCCATTATTCTTTTATTTGTTTCGACTGTAACTTTTGAAATATGAATAAATCTACTTTTCTTTTTTCCTGTAACCTGAGTAAACATAATAACCAGAATTTGGACAACGAACCAGAATATTGCCTGCATCCCAAGAGCTCACCTGTGTCACCTTCTAGTACCTATCAACCTCCATGTCCAAAGAGTAAGTATTGTTATACTTCTAACAGACTTAAATACATGCATTCTTTTTTTTTTTTTTTGTTTTGTTTTTGGTACTAGGGGTCGAACTCAGGTCTTTGTGCTTGCGAGACAGGCAGCAAACCTCTGAGCTAAATCCCCGGCCCAATACATGCATTCTTTTTGTGTCCAAGTTGTGTTTTTTGTTTGTTTGTTTTGGTTTGGTTTGGTTTTTTTTTTTTTCCATTTGCTGTAAGTAAATTTTAGCCACTTTGTCTATAATTGAGAGTTTGTTACACTCTTTCTTGTTTGATACTCCAGTGCCTAAATATATTACGGTGCATTTATTGATTCTACAACTGCTAGCCATTTGCGTTACATATTTCCAGTTGAATATACCTGAACATTTTAGAATGTGCCTTGTGGATGAATGAATATTTACTTAGAACTAGAATTACTGAATTAGAGAATATAAGGATTTTCAACTTTTATAAATATTGCTAAGCAACTTTTCAAGTGACTGCCCCACATTGTTTCCCTACTTTAAAAATAATTTTTAAATTTTAGCCTTTCTTGTGTGTGGTAGAGATGCCACATTGTGGTTTTATTTTACATGTTCCTGATGACTACTAAAGTTATGTACCTTTTTACAGGGTTATTAGCTGTTGTATACCCTCTTTGCTCAAGTCTTTTGCTCATTTTTTGGTTGGGTTGTGTCTTTTTCGTGCTACACTAGATTTCATATATTTATAATAAATACTATTTTATACTGTTTTTGTTTCTCTTGATGGTGATTTTTGACACCAAGTGTGAACTTTAATAATGCAGTTTGTTCAGTTTTTAAATTTTGGAGCTAGTATTTTTCTCTGTGTGTACATCTTTGTGTGTGCTTTTCAGGAAATCATTGCCCATTCTGTGGCCACCAAGGTGTTCTGTTTTCTTGTCTTTTACATTTTAGGGTTAATCTGCAATCTATTGGATTATTATTGTGTGTGTGTGTGTGTGTGTGTACTGGGGATCAAAGCCAGAGCCTTTCAAATGCCACTGAGTTACATTCCTAGCTTTTATTGCTTGGATCCTAAATAGTGTCAAAAGCTGAAGTGTTGAAAGCTTTGTCCTCAGCTGGTGAAGCTATTAGGAAATGATGGACACTTTGGGGTGGGACTAGATTGAAGAAGTACATCATTGGGGATATGCCCTTGAAGAGTATGTTAGGACCCCAGCTCCTTCTTCTCTTCTTTGCTTCCTGGCCTCCATGAAGTGAGTGGCTTTGCTGCACCATGTACTCCTTATCATAATGTTCTGTCTCATCACAGGCCCAAAGCAATGGGCCAAATAAGCATGGATTGAAACCTCTGAAACCATGAGCAAAAGAAATTTTGTCTTCTTTTAAGTTGATTTTCTTATTTTGTCATGATGATGGAAAACTAAGACATTAGTTCTGAAATTTATTATTTTTTTGTATGTTGTGAGGTAGCAGTTCAGCTATTTTTTCCTGCCTAGATAATTCATTTAGCACCATTTATAATTTTTTAAAGAAACCATCATTTTTTTCTCCACTGTACAGCTATGTTACTTTTGCCATAAATCCCAAGTTCTGTTTCTAGATACATTTTATACCATCTTGATAAAGCAAGATTTTGGGTATTTCTTACCAGTATTTGGCACCCAACTTTTATAAGCTCTGTTTGTATATAAGCTAATTGTAAGCCTCATATTCTCTCCATATATTATACAATCTCTCTTCCCAGTTTCTTTAGGAACTTAAACATTGAAGTTTATTCTGTTGTAATTATGTCATCTCTAGGTCATGAATATTGACTTGTGTTAGCATTCTTTCCAGTGGGAATGCACAGTCCTTGAATAGCTATAGTAGTCTAGAGCTGTGATTTGTGACACAGCTTGAATAGCTACTGCTTGTTGTTAGTTTGATAATTAGCAGTGCTTTCATAATATATTTTAAAGATTTAAAATAAAAGTTTGGCTCCTTGATGTTTTGACTGTATACTTTGTAACAATTATTTGCTAGTATTATTCATACTAAAAAATTTCTCTTTTTACTGGGGATTGAACTTGGGACCTTGTGCTTGCAAGGCAGATGCTGAAACCACTGAGCTAAATCCCCATCCCAGAGATTTCTCTTTTATATTGTACTTCACCCTATAGACAAGAATATGTGAGCTGGGGATTTAGCTCAGTGGTTTCGCTGGCTGCCTTGCAAGCTCAAGGGCCTGGGTTCAATTCCTTGTACCAAAAGAAAAAGAGTATGTGTTTTGAGGTGATGTAGCAATTAAAGCATGATCCAGATCTCATATGATAGTTTCTTTAAAAAGCATGAAGTATAAAAACTTACGTACATTATGTTCTTTGATACAGATGTTTTAAATGCAGCCTAGGTTAATTATAGATACTGTATCCTACTACACAGATTACTTTCTGGCTTAATGTCTAGCAGAGTAGTAGCCAGTAGATAAACACTTGGCTTATACCAGAGTAGGCAGCATACCAAAACCAACAGCAGCAAGCATGGTTTTTAATTTACAACAATGTATCTTACTTGTAAACAAAGAGTACATTATGGCATCTCCTCTGTCAGAAGAAAGGAGATCTATTTGATTAGAGCAGTAAGAAGAAATCTTTCTCTCCCTCCCCTCCCCTCCCCTTCCCTTCCCTTCCCTCCCCTTCGCTCTGTACTGGGAATGGAACTTGTGCATGTGAGGCAGGCGGTGGCACAACTGAGCTAAATCCCCAGCCCTATACTTCTTTGTTGACAGAGGGGTTGCTATCAAATTCCCTCTGTGTTTGCACATTCATTTCCATTGCAATGGGAAGCATGGATGCAACACTAAAGACACTTAACACTTTTACATGGTGTGGGCTATAAGTAGGACATGATTTGACCCCTCTTACTGAGGTCAAGTAAAAATTTTCTCTGATGAATCATAATGTACGTCTAATTTCTGGGTTATAGATCCAGAACTTCTTATAAGAGATTATTGATAGTCTTTTTTATCATAAGTAGAACGCCTTGGTAATTCTTTACTAACACTTTGTAAATATATGAATGTCCTATAATGGGAGTTTCTGTTGTTATATCAGGCTTTAAGTCATATTTATTAATATTTTATGGGGAGAAAGCCCCATCTTTTTACAAGCTGTGTTTCTCATGCTCATGAGATCTAAGGGTAAGACATTAATTATTTGAGTATGATTTCTGCACAACTCTTAGTCATTTATCAGCCTTTTGTTTCTATATCTTATATCCTACACTAATATGAAGCATTAATGAATGAATAAATAACCTTTATATACTTAACTTTTTTTTTTCCAGTACTGGGGATTGAACTCGGGTCCTTTACAATGAGGTACATCACAAGCCCCCCCCACCCCCCGTTTTTTGTTTTTTGTTTTTTTTTGAGACAGCAGATTCTCTCTAAGTCATCTAAGTCACTAAGGGGCCCAGTTTGGGCCCAAACTTGTAATCTTTCTGCTTATGCTTTCCAGAGTACTGTGATTATCTATATAATTTCTTTAGAACATGAATTGCAAACTCTATTTCCTCCTCACTTTTGATGGAGGAGTTTACTATAAATCTTATGAAAAGATTTTGAATAATTTTTAAATCCTTCTCCCTCTGAGTCTTTCTATCAATGTAGGAGATATTGTACATCTTGAAAAAAATATGGAAAATTCCCTACAAATTTATTTAGGCAACTTTTATTCATCCATATGAATGAATGTAACACTTATAAGTGGTCATCGCAGTGACAATAGCTGTCACAGTTGCTTTACTTGGCTTCCTAAAATATAGGATTGGCAAATTGTGAAAATAAGAAAAAATAGACTCATTGGAAGAATTAGGAGGATATCAGCTATTTATCTGTTACTTTTACCATCATCTCTTTTGTCTACCTTTCTCATTTTAAGGAACAAGAAAGCAAGATGAAGATCAGTGGGCCCAACAACATTGGGAAGAAGAGACAGTCTATTAAGCAGAAGTCTGTTTTAGTTTGTTTGATTCTGTTTAATCCAGAATCTGAGGCCAAATATTGGAGCCAGCCAACAATAAGAATGGCTTTCAGAAGCAATTAGTTGGACCAAGAGAGGGAAAATGGTAGTTACTGTGACTGCGGTGAAAACCAAGGCATTTTCATGCTGAAGATATTAGGATAGCAATGCAGTTTATTATAAGGGAACTGTATAAAGAGTCATCAATAAGTGGACAAATAGACATTTTTTATACCTGAGGTGATAAGCTCTCATTAGGTTCTCCATTGTCCATAGCCAGTCCTGTGGGAAAATAAGAACAGATAGTAAAGAGTTTTCTATACTTATGTTATTGCATATTCCAAAGCTACTTTTTTTTCCTGATAGTGCTGCTGACAGGGCATATCTACATAAATATGAGATCACAATTTTGAAAAATATCATCTCAAAGTTAATACTGCATCTGAAGTGTGGATAGTGGATAAAAGACAGTCAAAAGACTGCTGTTGCATTTAAATAGGAGAAAAGAAGCTGGG